GAAATGAATATTAAAATTGTTAATTTTGTTTATTTACTCCCAGCCGTGTTACTTGTTTGGGCGTATATTTCAATCCACGAATCCCAAATAAAACCAAAACACAAGTCCTCAATACATTTTACTTGATAAAATCATTGTTTATTTGGTAAAACAAATGTCAGATGAATAAAATAAAAACTATTCATAAGAGGTAAACCCATCTCAGAACTAATTACTTACTGACTTACTTACTTACGCCTGTTACGCCCAATGGAGCATAGGCCACCCACCAGTTTTCTCCAACCAACTCTGTCCTGGGTCTCTTCTTCCAATTCTGTTCAATGTTGGTTCATTCTTCTCATATCTTTCTCTATTTCTCGGCGTAGTGTGTTCCTTGGCCTTCCCCTTTTCCTTTTGCCTTGAGGATTCCATGTAAGGGCTTGTCTCGTGACGCAGTCAGGTGCTTTCCTTAATGTGTGTCCTATCCACTTCCACCACTTCTTCCTCATTTCCTCCTCAACGCGAATCTGGTTTGTTCTTTCCCACAGCACGTTGTTACTGATGGTGTCTGGCCAACGAATCCGAAGTATTTTGCATAGACAACTGTTAATAAACACTTGTATCTAATGGATGATGGCTTTCGTAGCTCTCTAGGTTTCCGCTCCATACAGTAGAACTGTCTTGACATTTGTATTGAAAATCCTTATTTTGGTGTTGATTGATATGTCGTTGGAGTTCCAGATATTTTTCAACTGTAGAAATGCAGCCCTTGCTTTGCCGATCCGCGCCCTCATATCTGCATCGGATCCACCTTTCTCGTCGATGATGCTGCCCAGATATGTAAAGGTGTTAACGTCCTCCAAGGCATCTCCATCAAGAATGATTTGGTTGGTGCATGTTGTGTCGGATCGGGGAATTTTGCTTTTTCCTTTATGTATGTTGAGACCTACTGCTGCAGAGGCTGCTTCTACACTGGTCGTCTTCTCTTGCATTTGTTGTTGCGTGTGCGATAGAAGAGCTAGGTCATCTGCGAAGTCCAGATCGTCCAGCTGCGTCCTTACTGTCCAGTTGATACCGTGCTTCCCTCCACATGTCAACGTCTTCATAATCCAGTCGATCACCAGAAGAAAGAGAAAGGGTGAGAGTAAGCAACCTTGCCTGTCACCGGTCTTCACCTCAAAACAGTCTGTTAGCTGTCCTTCGTGTACGATTTTGCGGTTGAATCCGTCATAAGAATTCCGTATGATGTTAACTATTTTCTATGTACTAATGAAGATACAAGTTTTTTTTCTCCACTCTTTTTTGTACAAGAAAATATAATTCCACTCAATAAATTATGTATGTATACATGTGTAACGGCTGGAATGATGAAACACCTGTAGGGAAACTAAATGTATTTTCATTGGACAATGAACTCAATTAGTATTTAAAAACAAAGTCATTTTTTCGGTTAAACAAAATGATTGAGTAAATATGTACGATACTTATTATCACTGACGTAGTTTTACAAAACTAGTAATCATCTTTCTCATGTACAACATACATTTTTAGTGATAAAAAATACAAAAGTTTTGTTTAAATAAGTAAAAATAATTTATTATTCACAGTTGAAACATGAAGATTTAACTTTTTCTAACATACTGCATCCGGAATTTGACAATATTCGTCTTTATGTCAATTTATCGAAAGTTGAATTAAGCTGTAAGTACTCATAAGAAAAAAACTCCACCTGAAGCTTGTCTAAGATTACTGCCAAACGCAAGATCGGATAAAGGAGGAGGGTTGGACATGGGACCTCATCCCGTAGAAAATCAATTTTGTAGAAAAAATGCTGTGAGGGACGATTAATGAAAATATAATAGGGGTGAATAAGATAGATATTGTGGAAATCTCCTAACTGCATCCAACTTTGTAACAAGACAAGTCCTAACTTGGAACCCTCAATGCCAAAGGAAATGAGGAAGACCAAAGAACATATTATGCTCAGAATCGGAGACAAACATTAAACGAATGAATCGTACAATCGTGTAAGACTGGACAAGAACGCCCAGGACATAAGATGTTAGAGAATGCTGGTGGGTGGCCTTTACTAACATGGATAAGTAAGTAACTCATAAAAAGACTAACATCATATAATCAAATCAAAAATTCCGCAATGTCGAATTGATAATGAAACCACAATTAAAGCTACTATTGTGGTGTACGCTACTCAGTTCACATAAGTAGTATATGATTTCAAACGGAAATCAAACGTCTGACAGCAAAAGATCGAGAAGGAAAGAATGAGAACAGAAGGCGATTTGTAGTTAACATAAAGTGAACTGAAGTCTGAACAGTCTAAATGAAAGAACACTGAAATCTGAAACAAATAAGGATTAGTTTGCAAATAATGATTTTACAGGAAGGTTTTGTACATATGCTTAACAACTCTGTAATATTCGCTTAAATATAAGATGTTAATGTCCTCACCTGAGTTTTCGTGCACAACATTTGGTGTCGCTGCCAGGATGAAGATACCGTGGCCGAAGGAGTTTGAGGATGGAGATGTGGTGGCCTTCCTGAAGGAGTTCGACGCCGTTGCGGAGCTAGCCGGATGGGAGCAGGAGAAGGCTGTGGTTTTGGGACTGCTGCTCCGTGGCCGAGCGAAGGCTGTGTATGACAGCCTGGATAGAAAGGTGAGGACATGGAAGGCGGTCACGGATCGGCTTGTCGCGGAGTTTGACAGCCCAGTGGATCGGCAGGAGACACTTCAGAAGTTCAGGACGGTGAAGTTGTCGGCGAATGGAGACCCACTGGTGCTGGCAGTCAAGGTGACCAAGCTGTTACATCGCGCGCTGCCGAGTTTGGATGAGGAATCTGAAGCTCAGCTGTTGGCATCGCAGTTCATCGAGAGTGTTCCGGACGCCATTTCCCAGCAGCTGAAGTTGTTTAGCGCCGCACAACCAATGCGTATACATGAACTGGCAAAAGTGACTCGACAGCTAATGACGCGAACAGTAGCTTCGGTGGCGTGCGCAAGTCCGGAGAATGATGATCTCGAGAAGAAAATTAGTGCAGCGTGCTGCATCGTGAGATTGCCGCAATGTGAGTAACTGGTGACAGGAATAATAAATGTTACGTATGTGGAGGGACAGTTGCACAACACTACAACTAAGTATGATTTCAAAATTTATTTTTTTCATTCATACAAATTGATAGTAACTCAACAAACCCAATAAGTTCATGTACCTACCAATTAGGTTGATATTATTATGAATGAGTCAAATGTCAAGTTTAGAACACATTTTGAAAACTGAATATTGTACGAACCCGTGATTACTGAATAAAGTCATCAACAATGATAATAATAATAATAATAATAATTATTATTATTATTATTATTACTGTTATCATTAAAATTTTAACACAACACAAGTGAAAATGATCATAATTGATCAATTATTTTTCATGTTTCATGGAGCAGAATCTTGGAGAACTACAAAAGCCGTCATCCAAAAGTTTCAAGTGTTTATTAACAGTTGTCTACGCAAAATACTTCGTATTCGTTGGCCAGACACGATCAGCAACAACGAACTGTGGGAGAAAACAAACCAGATTCCAGTGGAGGAGGAAATCAGGAAGAAGCGGTGGAAGTGGATAGGACACACACTACGAAAAGCACCTAACTGCGTCACAAGACAAGCTCTCAATTTGAACCCTTAAGGCAAAAGGAAAAGAGGAAGGCCAAAGAACACATTACACCGACAAACAGAGAAAGATATGAGCGGAATTAACGAAAATGGGACAGAACTGGAGAGGGAAGCCCAGGACAGAGTTGGTTGGAGAAAACTGGTGGGCGGCTTATGCTCGATTGGGGGTAACAGGCGTAAGTAAGTAAGTAAGTATGTTTCATGTTATTTCATAAACTAACTAACTAACTAACCTGATCTAGTTGCATTTACATGCTCATTCAATTTCATATAAAAATTATCAAAATGTCTAAATTTGTGAAAGCTGATCATTATTCTTATCAGTAGTTTAAGTAATTATTCATGATAAAATTATGGAAATCTTTATTTACTACTGAAATCATGAATTAATCAATCAGTAGTTGTTTTAGACTACCACTAGAAACCTGAAAGAAACACTGAAAGACGGAATCATCAGTGACAGTGAGCATCCCAGAACCTTCAGTCTTGTTCACGAACTCCTAACCTCTGAACCACTGGGTCTAGGGATCCTTCCTGTAGAAACCTCATGCATTTATGATTACTAATGTAGGGGCAACCGAAATGTATTTATTTCAAAATTACAGAGTTACTCAGTAAAATCGGATAACCATATCGTAAATCGTTAATTTGCAAAATATCAATCCATCATATCGAACTGGACTGTTCCTGTTGCAAACAACATCAATCGATTGTCACTTATTCATGCTATTTCATACAAATTCCATTGTGTTCTCCCCACTCTTACTTTCTTGATCTTCCCCCATCATCTTCGGCTGACACTCACGTCATATACTACTTATAAGTAGCTCGCACCACACTTATTATTAAATTAGTAATGAATTTTTATTTTTAAAAATAAATCATTTTTTAATATTTTTATTAAATCAATACTAAAAATGTTTGTTTCCCAGAAATAATCAATATATCTAATCACAAATAATTTGTACTAAAACGAACAATTTGCACAAATTCAATCAATCAAACCACAATAGGGTAGGTGGGTACTCACTCATTCACATGAATGTACACACATTGATGTATTATTCACTTGTAAAAAAAAGTTGTATCATCATTGAAACACGGCAAAAATCAATAATTGAAGAAATCCGAACAAAGGAAAAAAAAACACAAAGTTGGAGGGAATTAGGGAAAATTACGCCTCCATAATTGAGATCATAGATCATTGTGTTTGAGTGTTGAGTGTATGTGTGTGTGCGCTATTTCACTGTTTTAATTCCAGTATAAATAGACTGACTATGTGATGAATATTGAAATGAAATGAAATGAAATGAACTGGAAAAAAGGTGAAAATTAACTTTTATTCGATGAATTCTTTTGTTCTATTAAAATTGACGGTATCACACATACTGCAGTATTTGCATGATGTACCACATAATCACTAACACTACCCATAATTGTACGTTTAATTGCACCCAATCCACGACTACCAACAATAATTAAGTTGACATTGTATTTTTCAGCATTTTGTACAATCGCTGCACCAATATGCTCAACTGGTTCATATAAAAATTGAAATGTTAAATTATGCGCTAAACAATCCGCGCTATAATCATCTTCTAAATGACGTACACGTTTAACATTTGTCTGTACAAGATTAGACCATTCATCACTTGGTATACTAATTGGATTGGATAATGAAATAGTTGGTAATGAAACAGGTTCCACTGCATGATAAATAGTCACTGCATCATCTGGTCGTTGTAACCATTTTAAATAATATTGAAATGCTGTTTTAGAATGTTCTGAACCATCGATAGCAATTAGAACAGATCGTGAACCAATTGGTGGTATTTTTAAAAATCCTGATGGTCTTCTATCCATCTCTTTTTTTTGGTGAATTTCACTTAAAAAGATTGTCGATTATGTCAATATTATTCATATAAATACATATAGATTAATTCTGATCAAGGTGTGGCTATGATATTCCTTTTTTGTCCAATCAAAATTCAATTCAAATAAATCGATATTGTAATCTGATTGGATCATAATTGATGACTGAGTTTTTATTGGTTCACTGAAGCTGTTTAATGATTGGTTCATAGCTTCCAAAAAAAGAAACTTTGTTATGTCAAGAGACGATGAATGTACAAATCATGGGTGATAATGATTATGTAACAGTTAGTAAACATTTTCTAGCCCCATCAATAAAACTTTTATTGAAAAAAAAATATAAAAATGTTTAATCAATAAATTAAGTGAAATTAAGAAAAATTGCGCCAAAATTTGAAATGTAATAGAAATGAGTGAGATTCAGTGAAACTTGGTGATTGAACAAAATACGAACAGCCATGATGATTATTTGTATGATACAGTTGAGTAGGCATCGCGTTAAGGTCATTTGAAAATGAATATTGAACATATTGAACAGAGATCATGGAGGCAGTAATTTATTGAAAATTGAACAGTTAGTTGATAAAAATGAATTGCGTGATTATACATAAAACTCGAAAATAAATTTTGAAAAATTTACAAAACCCATAAAAATTGATGGAGCGAAAATTTTAAAGAATGAAAAAGTAAAGTATATCTGTTTAGTTTTAATAGTCAGTCACACAGTCAGATGCAACGTAGAACTTTGTACGTACGTAAGTACATCAGTTCATGTTGCCATACCACACATTAGCACACAGAGATGTAATTGTCAATTCAAATCCAATAGAGTAGTAGAGGTAGTAAAGGTATCAGAAGTAATCGGAAAGGTTAGGATTAAAAGACATTATTCAAGAAGTATGATTCATTGAGAAAAGTTTAGAAAGTCAAAACTAGAGGTGTTGAAGAATCCCGAAGATTAGGATTTGAGAGAACACAGAGAATAAATGCACCGGCGGCATTGTAAACGCTTTTGAGCTATGTCATTCAGGGTATCTAATCATCGATTATTATCATCCCGCGGACCTCAACCAGGTAGTCGACAATTACCGACATGACTTAATCCACTTGTCAATCGCTTCATGGATTTCTGCCATGTTTTTGCCTGGCCGCCCCTAACTTTCTTTCAACCTACTCCTACACTACAAAACAAAGCTCTTCGAGGCAGTCTGTGGTTATTAGTTTTAAGAAGTTATAAGAGAAAGAGTTTATGAATCTGATAACATAGTTGGCAAACTGATCAGTTCATCTTTTGTTCCGTGATTTGTGGACTTTTCTTTGAAAAATATGATTGAGTAAACTTATTTATTATTTACTTACTCAACTTTTGGTGCGCGCTACTTATAAGTAGTATATGACGCGAGTAAAAAAACGTAATGTCTGGCAGCAGAAAATGGGGGAAGATCAAGAAAGTAAGAGTGGGAACACAATGGGATTTGTATGAAATGCATGAATAGTGAGTGAAATGTCAGACAATGGATTGATGATGATTGATTGAAGATTTGCAAATTAACCACCGTTTACACGATATGGTTTTCCCTATTTTACTGAGTAACACTGTAATTTGCGATAAATACAATTCGGTTGCCCTCATCTGTGTTCTCCTTCACTACAAACTGTTGTTCATGAATCCTGTAAATAACACTTGTTAATTTCATTAGTTTGACATTTTATGATTTTACAAGTGAGAGTTCTGTTTGTTCAGTTTGATTTTCTCGTCTACTTTTTAAGTTAACTAGTTTGGTTTTCAGTTCTCTAGCATACAAATGTCACATGAGATGGTATTGTGTGTAAGTAGACTATTTGTAAATGGAGCATAGGCTACTGGCCAGCATTCTCCAAGCCACTCTGTCCTGAAGCTTCCTTCCTGGTTGTGTCTGTCTACAACTCTCTACTTAATCTGTTCTTTGGTCTTCTGAATTTTGTTTGGCCTTAAGAATTCTAAATCAGGGCATGCCTCATGACATAGTTATGTGCTTTCCTTAATGTGTGTCCAATCCACCTTCATCGATTTTTCCTAAATTGTTCTTCAGCTACATCTTAGTTTCTTTTATCCCATAGTAGGTTGACGGTGATAGTGTCTGGCCAACGGAGTAGATAACTCTTGGTGAACACATGTATCTATTGGATGATGACATTCGTGTTCCATCAACGTTCCACTCTAAACAATAAACATCTCTCGACGCTTGTATTAGAAATCATGATTCTGGTGTTTGTCGGCAGTTGTTTTGAGTTGCGTATGCTCGTCAATTGTAGAAATGTTACACTTGCTTCGCTAAGCCATGTCTTCACATCTGTGTCACATAGACCTTTCTCATTAACAATGATGCTGCCCCCCCCCAGGCATGTAAAGGTTTCTCCATTAAGCGTCATTTGGTCGGTGCATATTGTATTGTATCAGAGAATCTTGATTTTTCACTCATGTAGGTTGAGTCCTATGGCTACTGAGGCTGCTGCTACCCTGAACGTCTTCATTCGCATGGGATAGTAGAGTGCAATCATCTACTTCGAAGTCCAGATTGTCCAGATTTGTTGTTTCTTGAAGAACAAGACTTCAGTTTCCATACCCTTTTAGAACAGTTGAGCATTTTTAACTTAGAAATTAGCAAACGTTAGAACAATTGAAAAGTGGGATTTTCCGGCACAACACAACATGCACCAATCAAATCACAACTTGACGGAGAAGCTTTATAAGATATTAAAACCCTCATATGTCTGGCCAGCAACATTGATGAGAAAGGTGGATCTGATGTAGATGTGAAGGCGCGGATTAACAAAGCAAGTGTAACATTTCTACAAGTGACAAACATCTGTAACTTAAAACAAATGTCGACCAACACTAAAGTCAAGAGAAAGTTATGGTTTGTTGCGGAACTTTGAAGAACCACAATAGACATCATCCAAAGGTGTTGGGAAAGTTATATCCTCCGAATTCACTTGAAAAAGGTGCTAGTTTGTACCTTATTTCTGAACTTTTGAATTTTTATGTTCCCGCGACAAGAGACGCTCAGTTGACCTACAGCTTGGATTTCCCACTCGTAAAATCCCTCACTGTCATTGGTGGATGGATTATTTTAGTACGCTGTTTTTGTGGCTCTCACCAAGGGCGTTTCTGTCATTGTATAAATAAGCTTGATTTATGTGCTTGTCAACCTCGTATTTTCTAGGTGCTTGTAGAGTACACTTTCTATGCTATCATTGAACTTCGTTCCGCTACCAAGTAAGATGAACTAGTAAAAGCATTCATGTATATCAAAAAGTCGCAGATGTTTATCAACAACTGTCTACACAAAATACTTCGGATGCGTTGGACAGACACCATCAACAACAACCTACTGTGGGAGAAAACAAACCAGGCTCCAGGGGATGAGGAAGAAGCGCTGGAAGTGGATAGGACACACAAAACAAGCCGTCACTTGGAATCCTCAAGGACAACGGAAAACAGGAAGGTGAAGGAACACATTACCCAAAAAAATGAAGACAGATACGAGAAGAATAAACAACAGTTGGACAGAACTAGAAAAAAAAGCCATGGAAAGAATGAGTTGAAGAATGCAGGTCAGCTGCCTATGCTCCATTTCGGAAGTGTAACAGACGAAAGTAAGTAAATAAGTAAGTACTTTTTTATAATTTCTTAACATTATTCAATCGTTCTGTAGGGTTCGTCACTAGGTACGCTTGAAGCTATTACGAGTTCACCCTAGTCGATAAACGCGAACGAGATAATGAACCAGTGTCCAGATAGGCTACCTTGAATCCCAAGCTGAAGATAGAAGACTTTGTAGGTGTAGAAAGTATATTCTACAAACACCTAGCAATCACAATACAATCAAGCATACAACTCTCGTTTATTTATATATCATAGAAACGTCCTTGAGACAGTTACGAAAATAGCACACTAAAATACACAGCAGCACATCACAGCCCTGGATTTTGCTGGTGGGAAATGAAATCTCAAGGTCAGCTGATCAGCCCATGCTGGCAAATGTGAAATCCATAATTAAGGCATTTATCAAGCGAGTTTTTTGGGGATCTAACATCCCCAACACGCTCAGTTTATTTTAACTCTTTCAGTATTCTTCAAAATTCCAACATACAGTATGTATACTCGTTTCGTGTTTTTTTTCATGACCACTACTATTCTGTTTAAAACTGTAACCAGCTGACACGGAATCCATGAAATAACATGAATTCATTGTTATTCTATCGGCTACATGAATTATTCTTAACTTTTATTTGTAACCATGAATCGATCAATGTTAGACCACCATTAGAAACCTGAAAGCTCAATGGTCTAACGGTTAGGGAGTTTGCGCACAGTACCGAAGTTCCTGGGTTGAAATCCTGCGGGGTGCAGTATTCGTGGGTGCGCATTGCCACTGAGGGGTCTCATACCAGGACGAAACGGCCGTCCAGTGCTTCCAGGTTTCTAATGGTGTGGTCTAACATTGATCGATTCATGGTTATAAATAAAACTTAACAATCTTCACAACAACCCAGCAATGCAATCTTAACTTTTAGTGTAAATTCAAGTTTATAAATAAGCGAATTTGTACCAGTAAACAGAAAACTGTCAAAATTAATTAATCAAAATGGAAGATGCCTACTGAGACTGGATTTTATTGATTATAATAATGAAAATTATGTAAACAGCAAATTTGATAGTTGGATATGTTATCAATGCACTGTCAGAATGAATGAATGAATGATATTTGTAGAGATTGAATTATTTACTGATATGCTTGAAAATTAATTATGTGTTTGACTTAGTCGGTAAATGAGAGTGAAGACACGATAGGGCTCTTCTGATGTCGATTGTCCATGGCCCTGCTAACTATAGGAAGAAGTGTATTCTACAAGCACCCAGAAAATATGAGGTTGACAAGCACACAAGTCGATTTTATTTATACATGATAGAAATGTCCTTGGGAGAGCCACAGAAATAGCGTACC